GCATTGCCTCACAAAGCACACCGGGTTCAATAGGTCAGAGCACCAGAACCACCTCTTTTCACAGACCAGGAGGCAGTATTTCAGACTTTAGGTCTCAACCCAGTTGCTTCTGCGCGCTGTGAGGAAGATGCTCCCATGCCAGGCAGAGCTTCCGGGAGCACAGCCCGCAATCCTGGCCATTCTGGGCTTTGCAGATGCACCCATGTAAGGCCATCCCACAGTCCTGGTGTCAGAGGTCAGCACATCTTTTTGAAGTGCAGAATTCAATCTATAACTGCTACTTTCTGCCAGATACAAAGCTCAGGTCAGCTCTCCAGCCCTGACGCTCCTTAGGAACGCAATCGGTGGCTCTCTACCTTCACGGTGAACAGAACGTCTAGACAGATGTCTTGTTATTTTATGCAACATATCCATGCCCATTCTACATGCTGGCTGTTCTGACACGGCAGACCCAGCCTAGAAGTCAATACTTTTAAAAACAAGAGGCAAAAGCAAAATAAGAGTAGTGCTCATTCAGAAATGAGAATCACTGAGATTGATTTTAATAAAACATTTTAAATCTGGAAACCAAAACCAAGAGAGGTGAAATAATGTATCAAAGAGATCACATAGAATATAAGTAATGGCCTTATACCTATCTGCAGCTTAGGTTTGAACAACAGTATTGTCAAAGAAGCATGTGGACACAGTTATGCATTGTATTCTCATTTCTTTTGAAGCATCACTTTTGAAGACTGCCTACCCATTGTCCCTACTATACCCAGGTAATGCATGCAGGACTAGGAGCAAACTACAGGCAGTACGCATGGGGGAAGAGGGACAGAGTTCGCATCCAGAGACAGGCCTTTCGTTCCTCACCACAGTTCAGCAAAGCAAGGTCATGAGGACTTGACAGAAGGAGAGATTAGTGCAGGGTGAAGCAAGTCCTAGAGGCAGCTCCACCACAGTGGGGCTGGAGTTCAGTTTTGAAAGATACCTGGGATCTAGGTAACTAGGGGAGGAGGACATTTCTGGTGGAGAGAAAACAGGAGCAAACTCAGAGGCAGGAGCAAGACCCATGGAAGGGAAATGCACCCCAGAGCTGTATATATAGAGAAATGGAAAGGACATGTGGGGTGGCATATATCCTTGTGTCATTTGCTGAACCATAGAGCACAGTATAAAAGTCTGTGTCCTTAGAAAGTGATCATACAATATGTTGTCAAAACAAGTCAATTTAGATGGTGACAATGACTGCCAATGATATGACTGCTAATAAGAGGACAGTAGAGTTGCATCCTAGCTACTGAGATGGTTACCATAGCTTCCAGGATCATTGGGCCATCCATTTAAAATTTCTGTCCTCTGAAGCTAGGGCTGCTGGCTGCCTCTGGAATTAATATTTCAGAGCTGATACTGGCAGGAACTGAAAGCAAGTCAGTGACTTCAGAGGACATAGGAAGTTTGCAGAAGGGCTTGCACAGAAGCCTCAATGTGGCGCGCGGTGACCTCTAAAACTTTCTTCTTCAGTTCTCAGGCGGCCACCTGAAAGACCATTAAACGTCTGTGTGCAGCTATTGAAGGGGATTAAGTTTATTCTCTGATCAGCAATACTTGTTGAATTAGTTTGGAAAGGAGAAACGATGGCAAAATAATAAAACTAGAGTACAAAGATCAGTTCCCCAACCTGCTTACAGACAGAAAACCCTGAACTAAAACCCCCGTGAGGACCACTCTTGCTTTTTTGCTATACATTTCTTCAGGTATAATGTTCTTATTCCATTAGTGTGTGTGGGTTGAGGACCCAGCACCGGGGGGCTTCAGGGTGTGGAGACTGACAACTAGTTAAGCTGACAACTAGTTAATGCCCTGGTAAGTGGGCTCTCTGATGGAAAGCATGCTGTGGTGGGGTACACAGAGAGTTTCAGCCCAGTGTCTGCACCCAGAGGAACTCAGCCCTGCACAAATCACCCATGCTGCAATGCTAATTTTATGTTCGGCAGAGACCTTCCTACATGCATCTGTAGACACACACGCCAACCTGAGTCATAGAGCCCGGGCAGGTGTGGCAGAACAGCATGGCTGGTGAGGAAATGGACCGTGATTGAACTCTTGCCCAAAGCAGGAACATATCCTTGGAATATGGTCATCCATGTCCATGTTATCCACAAGAACCTCCTTGGAGCCCATCTCACCAGCAATACTGTTCCATTGTGGGACAACTCTGTGTTAAAGTATTCATATCATAGTATCTTTCAAAGTTAGGTTTGTGGACCACCTGCACCAGATTATTTTATGTGCTTGTAGAAGTCACAGATTTCCAAGTTCCACTGTGTATCTAACTAATTCAACTTTTGGAGCAAAGAGTGAAATAGTGATCTTCATTGTTTGCGGAGCCTCAGGAGATGCTCATGGACAGCAGAGAGTGAGATCCACTGTTAGAGTCAGTGACTTCCAGACCTATGAGTTGGTTCCCCCTGCCTAAAAATGGACAGAAAGTCAGTTCTCTGTTCTCTACAGCAGCTCCTCAAGCCCTGGAAGACCTCACTCTACTTTCACTCCTTCAGACGACGCTGTAACTCATGTGAGTGAACTTTTCTTCAGAACCAGCCTCCACATCCCAAGCCACTTTGGGTGTGTTCCTTTGGGTCCTCTGATGCATGCTGGCATCTCTCCCAAAACACAATGCCCAAGAGGGAATGCATATGGTAGGAGGCAGTGAGGGTGAGCTGCTGTATGTGCAAAGCCTTTACCACGTACCATCAATTTTATGAAACACATAAACTGGCTCTCTTGCCAGCGGATCAGGAGACTACTCGTGTCAGCCTAAACCAACTGGCAGGAAGTATGACCACTGCAGACAGGCCGCATTTCAGTCACACGTGATGACTTCTCCTAGAGGCTTTCTGTTAGCTAGCTCTGATTCTGTCTCATCTCTTGAATGACAGTGGCTAGGCCTTCTATAAATTGTCCCTTCCCCTCCATCCCTGGTTCTTTCTTTTACCTTGTCATTCCTGTTACAAGGCCAGCAGAGCCATTTCCAGCCATTACCTCATCAAATCCTCAAAGCAGTGTTTTGCCACCTGGCAGATGAGCAGACTGAGTCTTTAGGAACTTGAAATAATGCGGAAACACTAGGAGTTGTCTACTCCCTCACTGACTTACTCCCTTAATCAACATTTTTGGAGAAAAGCTCGTCATGTACCAGATTTGGACCAAGAAGATGGAGGGAGTTAGGAGGAAGGTCCAGGGTTATAAAATTTTCTTACTCCAGTTCCCTAACTCTCCTCCCTAAAATGCCCATTTTAAGTCTCCTGACCCAAAAACAACCAGTGGATAGCAGGGCCATTTAGTGGTACCAGGTATACTTAGTATACATCTATTCATCTATTTGTTAAGAGAAGTGACACATGGATGTCCCAAAAGAGTATCAGAAAAAGACCAAAGGGGGTGTTGAGGAAAAACTCTGTAACAAGTTAGCAGCAGGATTAGCCTAAGGTATATGCACAAGTGACACCGCCTCTCATTTTGTTCCACTTTACATTCTGATGTCCCCAGACCAGTGTCTATTCAGTTAAATAAGACCCTGATTTTAGTTCATGATTTATAGACTTTTAGCCCAAACAATTGACTTTCTCATGGATTTGGTTAATTTCATCAGATTCCATGTAATCATCCTCTAATTAAAAATACACATGCATAAAGTTGAAACACTGCTATTTAAGTGAACTGAATTCATAAGCTCAGAAGAAATGTAAATGATTAATTACAGACCTGAGTTAGAAGCCAAACTAAAACTAATGCAATTGTACTCTCTTGTTTAGCTAGAAGGTGCCCAAGACCCAAAGTTCACAAATACTCAGGGCCACACAGCAGCAACATTGACAGGCAAATCCAATTTACTTACCTTAATCCAAGCCTTTCCTTGAGCTCTCACTACTCCTGACTGCACTCAACCTTTGGACTCCAAAACACCTCGATGTTGTCCAAAATAAAACCTATAGTTAGACACTAAGCCTATATTTAGGAGGTCAAAACTGATACAGCTATATAAAATGTCTCAGTTCTGCACCTTTGCCTTTTTGAATAACCAGATAAAAGTCCTTGTGACTATACATATTTTCCCTAAGCTTTGACACAACTCAATTTATTCCTTATTAATTACTAACAGAAACATAGTTGCTTGCCATTTTAGGGTCCAATACTTCGATGCAAAAGTTTCCCTTATGCATAATCAACATACCAAGAAATGTTTTAAAGTACTATCATTTAAAGCCTGAAGCCCGTTAGCCCAAATACATAAGAACAGTGATATTTTTTGTTTATTCTTTATCATTCTAAACTCCCAAATTACACTGATTTCAGACCAATCCTTTTAAACCAAACAAAAATGTGCAGCTCATTTACTCAGCATTAGAGGTCCCATGCCTCTGTTCTACACTGCATAGCCTCCAGGTTTCCTTTACACAGCCTGAAAAGAATTTTAAACTTTCAACCGAATGTTCTAAATCAGAGCACAAAGTGAATTTTACCAGGCAGAGGACATTCTAGCTGCTCTGACCTTTGACTGAGTATGTCTACATCCTCCAGCACACAGTCTGGATTATCCGCTAAGCTACACGACCCCCACAGAGCTCTTTCCACCTTTACTCCCCAGTGACAACACCACAGCACCACTGCACATTCCTCCACTAGGACTTGAAGCCCCTAACCCCCTCTGGTGAGGTTCTCTCATTCGCAGTCACCCTCTGCTCAACCCCAGACCAGCCCTGAGCATCTTCGGGAAACAGCTCATGGGTTTTGGGTCCTGCCTGAGTCCTGAGCCCACTAAACCCAACAATGTGGAAGTCATGTTTACTTCACATACACTGTGTAAACATGAAAGCATCTCAGAGGTCTCCCATCCCATAAGGACAGGCTCTTTCACTCTCCTCTTGGGAAATTCAAGCCTCTGCCTTCAAGAGGGAGACTACCCCCAGGCCCAGAGAGAGACACTGAGGGAGCCGGAGGCCACAACTCACGGCAAATCGGACTTGGCAGTTCTCCTCCCCCAGGTAGCAGAGGTCGCCTGACACGTTGGTCTCCAGCCACAGGTGCTCCCCATTCACGGCATTCTCCTGCAAGGAAAAGATCCAGGCACTTCAGTGATCTCTCCAGGAATAAGGGGGTGCAAGACTGCCAGTGACCCCAAGGAGTTCTAACACTTCTTACTGAGCCCCTCAAGGTAATACTGGACGTAATCCTACTGAATTCTACAAGTAGAAAGAAACAGTTGGAAAACTCTGAGCTATAACAAATAGATGAAGTCTGTACTGCTTTCTCCATGGGTGCAGTCATTATTAAAACATGTAACAAATGAAGGAAACTAACATGATAAATAGTTCCATGTAAAACCTTTATCCAGGCCCACCTCTGCAAATTCCATGAAGACTGAGAAAAACTCTATTTAAATTTGCCTTGACTTAGCAAATTAGTTAAAAAGGAGGACAGCAGAGTTAAAGAATTTTAAGTAAAACTGAAAACCCATTTATTTATATCAGCAATCAGGAAATCATACTTCTACGGTCAGAAGCTTCTTAAAACTTGGTTTAAGCGCTTAGTATTCAAAGCATAATAAATGTCTACTAATTCCAACATTTATCAAGTTTAAAAGGCCTTACACTCAATTATTTGAAATTTTTCTAACTGAATAACTTTACTGCTCCTAAAAATAGCCAGCGCTAATGGCGACTAGAGCTGCTATGAAGCATGCTACAAGGAGCAATAATTCCAAAGTCCAACAGTGTACGGCGTGAGCCTGCAGAGAGGCGGTAGACCCTTGTCCTTTAAATGGTGATGAAGAGAATTCCACCTTCCTTCTTAACATATATCGCCTGGAAAGGGTGAAAGCACATCACTGGTCACCGATATCATTTACTTGCTTGAAAAAGTATCTGAGATATTAGGTAAAGTGTTGTATTCGACTGATCATAAAGGAATAAGACCAAGTCTGTAGATATTATGGAGTATGTCTCTTGTTTTTAATCTTTACACAGGGCAGGAGCTACTTTTTATGGAGCATGCTGTGAACTGAATTATGGCTCCCTAAAAAATTCATAGGTTAAAAACCAACTCCCAGCATGATACTGTTAGCAGGTAGGGGCTTAGGGTAAAAGAGGGTCCTCAAGGTGGAGCCTTCCTAACAAAATCAGCATACTTGTAATAGGGGGCACAGGCGAGATCACCCTCTCTCCATGTGCCCTCACCCAGGAGAAGCCACATAAGCACAGGGCAAGAAAGTGACTGGCTGTAAACCGGAAGAGACCCTGGCCAGGAGCTGAACCTGCCAGAACCTTGACCTTTCACTTCAATACCTTCAGAACTACAAGGACCAAATAAAAGGCTTCTATTCAAGCCCTTCATTCTATGGTATCTTATTTTAGCACCCTGAGTAGACCACCATGAAGAGGAGTTCAATCAAAAGTCTTGTAGGATAACCAAGCAATTTAGAAATCCATCTTCTATGTGAGACACTCTTAGCTACATCTATACCATGGCCCTCTGGATCCTGAATTGGAGCACAGAGAAGCAGAAATGCAAAGCAAGTGATTCTTTTTGGAGTAGAGACCAACCACCACCCATCTTTTAACATAAATGCATGTTTCCAGCTGAGGGGTGAATACATTCTCCTTTAGAAGCTTACAGTCTCTTGCATTTTCAGGCAAGAGGACTTGCATGCCATATCGTGGCCTGTGATCTGGGTGCCTGCCACCCAAAGCAGTCAAGGTCCTTATGATACCTGCAAGAGTGGAACAAAGTGACAAGGCCAGGTAGAGATGTGATGCCTTCTCTAGAAGGAAAGCAGTACTGATGAGAATCATGACTCACGACGTCAAAGGATGGACACGTCTCAAACTTCCTTCTCTGCCCCACTGCTAGCCTTTCTCTGTGGTAGAGCATCTTCACTTTGCTCACAGAAGTCAATGGGAAAATGGAGCTCATGTAACTTTGTGGAACAACAGGAAAGAACAACTGCCATGCAGATGAACCCTAAAGGTTCTCAGATAGTGACGGGTGATGACAATATTAGAAAGTACAATATGAGACTGGGTGTGGTGGAACACACCTGTAATCCCAGCGCTTGGGAGGCTAAAAACAGGAGGATCACTCCAATCTGTATAGTGAGAGCCTGTAGACCTTGTACTAAATACATTTAAAAAAAAAAAAAAAGAAAATACAATGCCAAGGTACTTGTTTCTAAAGTCTCTTAAAGAAATTTATCTTCACAATCCAAAATATTCTTATCATCCAACTTTATCACCCAACTTATCATCCAACTTTAATTTATACACAATTATACAAAACAAGACCTTTTTATGATTCCTTAATTCACTCAGCAAACATTCATTCTTTGCCATCAGTGCCAGGCACTGGAATGTGCGGTAGAAGACAGAAACTTAACACACTGTGATAGCAGAAAATATTAAAGAAAGAATCAAAGCAAAAATCCCAACAAATATTTTAAAGTGAGGTGTGAAATGCTGCAATAGGCAAAGGTTAAAAAAAAAAAAAGACAATTTCCATCTAGGCTGAGAGGGAGCTATATTTTGTAAGGTCAAGGAAGCAGGGAACAGCAGACAAGACTTGGGGAGCCAGAAGCTTGCAGACACCCCATCAACCTATGACCAACCAAGCCAGGAGGCAGTCTCATGGGTCCTTGCCCCACCACACAGCACCTGCAACCTTCCAGGGCCTTGCTGGTCAACCTAGCCTAAGATGTGGGTACAGCAGGACTGCCAAGATCAGCTTGCCTCACTCTTGGGTAGGAACCTAATTTAAAAGACAGAGACCTCTGAGAAAGAAAAGTGGGAAAGGGGAAGATGGAAGCTTTATTGTGTGCTGCCCCAGCTGTCTTAGCACACTGGTTCTCAACTCTGCAGAGATCTGCCAAGTGTTTAAAAACACTTCCCAGGGAATGTGCGTCAATGAATCCTCTGCGTCAGCATCATCCTAAGTCCCCAGGATGATTCTAACGCGTGAGAGACGTTGGGCCCCGTGAATCCAATTCACCCTACCTCTTTCAGAGTTTAAGAGAATGGATTCTAGAACTTGTCTGGGTGGGAGGATCTGTTATGCTAGATACTGCTCTATCTTGTACAATCACAGGAAGATGAGAAGGTGAGAGAGGACAAGAAAGGAAAGAAGAAGCCATGCAATGGGATGTTTACAGAAAAAGACATGACAGGTGCTCAGAAGAGAGTGGTTACAAGAAACGGGGCCATACACAAAGCAACACAGTTATCATCAAGAAGTACAAATATGGACAATGGTCATAGGGAAAACTGTATAAAGTAAAGTGAAGAAAAATGTCATTCAAAATTTACTATCTATTATGACTACCACTCTACATAAAAATAAGGGCAGAAGAAATGACAGATAGATAGATAGATGATAGATAGATAGATAGATAGATAGATAGATAGATAGATGATAGATAGATAGATGATAGATAGATAGACAGTGTCATTTTATTTCTTCAGCCTCACATCTATGTGTACTTATTGTTCCCCTTTGCTAGAAAACTTCAATTAATAATTCTCCTTATTTTCGACCTCTACCTGTTTTCCATTCCAATAGACTTCTCCAGTTTGGATCTCACTAGCACACGTTTGCAGTCCACCATGACTGCATGTCCATTGTTTTCTGAACCCAACCCCATTAAGCTTTCTTCCTTCATTTCTATTGTAATTACTCTTGTTATGATCACCAGTCACTTCCGGGGCTGAATCCAGAGGCTGAGTCTCCATCATGATCAACAGCTTTGACAGAGACAACTCATCCTTTCCCCTAGAGACACTTTCTTCTACTAGTTTTGCTTCCCTTGCTCCTCAGTGGCCACTCCTTTTCCCTCTTCTTTGTTGGACCTGCCCTGCACTCAGCATTTCTCGACATCGGAATATTCCACAACAGCGCTCACATCTCTCCCCTCCTCCATCAACACTGAGTCCTTATTGCATTCCGTCCTCGGGGCTTTAGCTCTCAAGCACTCATTGCTTCTCAAATTATTCACACAGCATCCACCTCTTCTTTGAAATTCGGATTCATGAAAGAACTCCCTCTCAGAATTTCCACCTAAAGACACATGGAGCATCTCAAAATTCCACACTCATGAAAATTTCTTGATTTGATCCTTGACTTGCTCTTACTAGAATCTTCTCCTTGAATTTTCACTAGACAGCATTTCCATTCTTTAACTATTTATTGATTGATTGATGATTGATTTGGTACAGGGTCTTGCTATGCAGCTCAGACTCATAGTGATCCTTCTGTCTCAGTCTCCCCAGCACTGGGATTAAAGGTGTACTGGCATGGTATGTGGTTCCAGGGATCAAACTGGGGTCCTCACGCTTGCCATGCAGGCACTTAGACCACTGAGCTACCTACCTCCCCAGCCAACATTTCCATTCTTCTTGCAGAGGCTATAAATTTTGCAGTCATCCTAGGTACAGTATTTCTCTCTCACATACCTTCCATAGCTGACCTTAGTTATCGCAGATTCCAACTGCATTTAAAGCTCAACCATGTCTCATCACTTCCGCTCTTGCTGACAGTTCTGCCTGGGAGCACTCCAGCACACCCACACCCACCCTGGTGTCCCTGCTCTACTCTTGACACCTCATGGTCTGTTTTCCAGACAGCAAGCAAAGTAACTGAAATGTCCATGTGATCATGTCACTTTTTCCCAGAGCTTTTCATGAGCTACCTATGGTTGGTAGCTACAGAGAGATCCATGCTATTCCTTTCTCCACTTTGAGGACCCTTGGGTATCATGTTCACTTCTTTTCCTACCTCTCAGTTCTCTGATTACCTATTCCTCTTCCTTCCTTTCCTCTCATACTTCTCCAAGGTTGGCTTGACTTACAAGCATCTCCTTGCTCCTTTTTAAGCAGGCTAAGAAGATACTCAGGTTCAATAAGTTTGATGCTCTTTTGCCTAAAACTTAGTTTCTCCTGACGTCAATAATGGCATATTTCACACTAAATACAAACTCTATCCAAATCTTCACATATCAAAGATGTTCACTGTCTGTTCTGTTTC